CCTAAACCCTAAACCCCTTTTTCCCGGGCACGGGAAGAGCTCACAGAGCTGAGCAAGACCATCAAACTGGAGACCTGCCATCTGGCCCAACCGGGGATTCATAGTTGATTAGGGTTTTAGGGTTTAGGGTTTAGGGTTTAGGGTTTAGGGTTTAAGGTATACGTACATACATATATATATATATATGTTAATATACAAGGACACATACATGATATGCTAACATAAAAAATTTTCAAATGGAGCTACTGCTGCTGCTGCTGCTGCTGCTGCTGCTGCTGCTGCTATGCCACTCAAAGAGACTTGGGAGTAGGGACACCGGAGCTTGAAGTTAGTAGATACAAGTAGCTTCCTCGTTGTATCCCCATGTAATGACCTGTGCTCTGTCATACAACGGAAGCCCAATGCCCGCAGGTGAACGATGTATACTAGATGTCCACAGGGACTCTAAACCCAAAGGTCCACAAGCCCTAAACCCCTAAAGCCTGATCCCCTAAACCCTAAGCCACCTCTTTGGGTCGGAGCTCCATGGGATCGTAATAAAGAACTTGTATAATTTTTCTATTCCTACTTGGGTTGAAGTACCCATAAAAACATGTAAGGTTTAGGGTTTAGGGTTTAGGGTTTAGGGTTTAGGGCAAATGTTACCCTACTATGACACAGGAAACTGGCCAGGTGCGACTTCTCCACTTGCCGCCTCGGAACTTGTCCTCCGCCCCAGGGCACTTCCAGTTTTGGAGTGTAGAGGGTTTAGGAATCTTAGAGTTTGGGGTTTAGGGTTTAGGGTTTAGGAATTTTAGGGTTTGGGGTTTTAGGGTTTGGCAGTGTTAGGGCTTAGTAATCTTGGAGTTTGGGGTTTCACGGTTTGGGAGTGTTAGGTCTTGGGGTGTAGGGTTTAGGGTGGGGCTGGGGCTTTTAGGTCTTGGGCAGTAGTCTAGCATGATTGAGCCTAGAGGAAATGCGGCGTAAGATCGGCCACCCTCAGAGCGAAACTAAGGATCCGGCACAACCCTAAACCCGAAACCCTAAACCGTGACAACTCCAGAACTCTGAGTTTAGAAAGCAGGAAAATATATGGGAGTCTCCGAAAATAAGGGGGTACCTTATTTGGGGTCCCTGTAATAAGGATCCTACTATTTCGGGTACTATATTAGGGTCTCCTATCTTCGGAAACCCCCATATGAAGGACCATCCTGAAACCTAAGCTCCCACGGAGCGTTCGCTGAGGAGAGCAAGAGGGTCCAGCGCATTCTTGTTGTTCACTGGGAAGACGGGCTCGCCACGACCTCGACTCAAACTGCAACGCGGGAGGAGAGAGAGAGAGAGAGAGAGACAACATGTGGATAGTTCTCTAAATCAGGGTCCCTTTCAGGAACCCAAAAGGAAGCGGCACCCTTATAAAAAGGACTCTAAGAGGGACCCTAGTTTAGAAAACTGCCCATGTGTTCTTGAAGTGTTCTTGCAATGTCGCGGCCCTGGCTCTCCCAGCTTCTGATGCACTCCGATGACATGGCCGCTGCTGTTTAGGGTTTAGGGTTTAGGGTTTAGGGTTTAGGGTTTAGGGTTTTTACCTGCTGACCGAGCTTCCTGCCCTCATCCGAACCAGCCGGTATGTAAGAGAAGAAATTCAAGAGCTCTTCTTTTTCGATGGTACCTCGCACGCACACCTAACTCTAGGCACAGGGACTGCGCACCGTCAAGAGCAGTCGAGAAGGCCGTTGCGCACCGTTTCGGTCAATGTCAATGATCATGAACAGGAACTGGAGCATCTGCAACAGAACACAGGCATGGGATGGCATGCGTATCATGCAGATTCACAGGAATTCACTATAGTCTGCAGTGCCATGAAACAGTTTGTGCATTTATCAGGCTCTATGCCTCGTAACTGCTACTGTTGCCTGCAGTGGTAGAGGGATGAGTGAACACTTTGCGTGGAACTTGAAAACAGTACACACAGGTAGCGAGCATGCCGGTGGCATCAGAAGCACCGAATTCACTGATGACATGACTTACTTTTCCTCCTAGGTCAGCAGGCGGCTACCATGTTGCCGAAGATTGCATCTTCAGTTTCCCGAAGTGAAGCTTCTTCCCAGTGTAAGACCTTTGCATTGTTTTGGCAAGCTTTCTAATACACGGCCCTAAATCATCACCACAGGGTGGCTTTCAGAGAACATGGTGTATGCCAACTGGAGTTAGATGAGAGGACACCTCGCCGTGAGGACGTGCCGCTTGAATTGCGGAAATCACAAAGCCACCGCAACCCTGAAAGACTCACAAAAAACTGCTGAATAGTTGCTCCTCGTGGAATCTTGTGGTTGTAGCTCGGAACGGACGGTTGCTACTTCGCTGCTAGTTGCTGTTGCTAGTTACCGAAGTTTGGAGATCTAACTGCGTTCAACATGGCACCCGCCAACCAAACCCAAAGCCTAAACCCTGAAACCCCAAACCCAAAAGCCTAAACCCGAAAGAAACGGCCCCAAGCGTGGCAACAGGCCCTGCTGTTGGCCTCCTCCTTGGAAAGCGCACAGAAGGAGCACATTGTCACCAGGAAATCCTGCGAAGTCACAAGGCTCGGGTTCAGTCTAGGGTCTCCCTATAGGGCAAGTGCTCATGTCGCGGCGCTTCCAAGCAATCGCAGTAACTTTGCCCAGTCGCGGCTCCAACTTCAACAGTCTGCAACAGCCTTACAACATCGAACCCTAAAGTTCAACTGAAAGCTTACAAGACCGAGCTGGCCTGAAACGTCATGCTTCCCTCGCTGTTGCTGTCACCTGCAGTGTTTGCGGCATGCTGTTGGCGTGGGGTTCTTAAACGAGATACTTTTGTGAAATGTATACATATATAAATATATATACACACATGCATGTATAGCACATTACACATGCCTTTACGTGTGCGTAGATACATGCACAAGCATATGCATGTGCAAGCTTATGTGTGATCGTCAAATGTATAAGCATGTGCAGAAGTGCCCAAGTACACATACACGAATATGCGCATACATGCATACGTGCATACATACATACATACATACATACATCCATACATGCATACATACATGCACGCGTATGTCTGGTACCCTCTCAGAGACCAAGGGTTTCAAGTAATCAACAGCAGTAGCTCAGTAGCTGGTCTTTGGTGGGCAAACATCTTCCTGGACATCCTTCACCTTGAAACCAGATCCCCCAGACAGTGACCTGCATGTGCTCCAAAAAGAAGGCAGCGGCTTGTCGAGTCTGGCTGCTTGCGAAACCTACTAATGTAGGGGCATTAATAATTCGAATAGGGTCTCGGTGTACATAGCATAGGTAATTATTAAGGCCCGTAATCATTAAGGCCCCTATATTACTGTCAACTCTGCGCAACTTAGGGAGGTCGGGATTGACTGAGGCCTTCGGTAGCACGGGGAACCCCACAGACGCTGTGGTTTCCGTGCTTCAGGCCGAACAGTTTGGGTCTCATACGCGGCGATCAGAAGTGCATGTAAAAAAAGGTACTTCGCTACGGGAGGCCAGTTGACAGTTTTTGCTGAGGCAAAGACCCATGAAGAAAATGGTGTCAATGACAGGGGCACGAACCGACATTCTTGGCTCCTGCACAAACAGCGAAGCTCGGGGGCAGGTCCGGAGCCAAACATGTGTGCAACCCCTCGAACCTTCAGGACTCTGTACATCTCGCTGACGGTCCAAACTCCATTGGAGTCCACGTCAATCTGCACAAGTCAGCAAAGCTTCCGTTTGAGGGACGAGGCAAGAATTAAGCTGTGAAGTCCCTTGACGAAGGCACAATACTGTCACTTCTGTTTGCAGGTTGTAGATCTATATACATGGCCCTGAACCCCTCAACACTGGCGAAACATGGCTACGAGGCTGAGTAAGTTAGCGTGAACGTTGTTGTGAGCTTCGAAAGTATCCAGAGTGTATGGCCTTTTCTTCTCCCCTGCGCCCCATCAATCCTTGCCCCTGCAAACCCTCAAAATCCTGAAACTTTAGGGTTTAGGGTTTAGGGTTTAGGGTACCAGGCCTACCATGTACAACCACCCAGGATCGAATCGTGGGCTTCAGCTTACTTCAAGACTTAGAAGGCATTGCACAACGCCCTCATTCTACCTCCATCCGATGGCACCCCCTCCGAAGAGCAACGCTGCCAAGGATACTCCTCGCCTCTGTAAAGAGCTTGTACACCGATCTGATGTGATTCTCGTTGATGTTGTATGAGAGCACTGTCCTGACCAGGTAGCGACAATAGGGCTGAAGATTGAGATCCTAAACCCTCAACTCTAGCCCCAAAGTAGCCTCAGAACCACCTTTCAAGACCTAAACCCTAAACCCTAAACTTCCTAAACCCACTTATACCATATAGAGGATATCGGGGCAAAGCGACCTGACCGCAAGAGACCGAGCCGGTTCACCGAGTCGAAGGGGAAGCCTAAGCTATGCCACGGCTGAACCCTAAACCCTACCTAAACCCCAAACTTAAACCCTAAACCCTAAACTCGAAACCAAAAACCCCCTATACTCTAAACCCTAAACCCTGAACCCTAAACCCTAAACCCTAGACCCAAAAACATGCAGAACTCACTTCGGCACTCCTGCGCCCCTGTGCACTCAACAACCAGAGCCAAGGATCCCTCGGGCCCAGACCCTCCGTCAACTGGGTTCTAGGATTTAACAATTTAGGGGTTTAGGGTTTAGGGTTAAGGGTTTAGGGGTTAAGGGTTTAGGGTTTAGGGGTTTAGGGTTTAGGGTTTAGGGATTTAAGAATGCAAGTTACCATTAAACAAAGCCCGTATTACTTACTATAGATC